TATTATTTCCGTTATTCGATCGATTCCGCAGGTATCGATTTCTTTTACGAGATTGCCTTCGCGTATAAATTATCTTTCGTAAGAAGCTAACCTTGAAACTCTAGGAAATGAAACTGAAACGTCAATCTTATGCGTTTGACATTATAATGTAAATGTATTACAGAATTTTTCAGGAATTCGTGAGCCTGACCTCTTACTCGAGAATTCTGTTTCGTTGAATTCTGTTGAATTTGTAATATTTTCGTAACAGTCGATTAAAGAGTTAGAAAAAGACTGAAATTCGATAGATTTTGTTGGTAATGGAGCCTTCCTGTACCCCCCTCGTTTTTAATTTCAAGACTCGTTGCGTACCATGCGTAGGCAATGCATTGTGACGTCAGTACTATTTTCGCGCCATTATATTTTTCATTTGTACGTTTACGGTCCGTTACAAAATCGTGGATATTGTACTCAAAAAAAAGATGTTATCGTTGATGTACTACACCATCCAGTATTGATAACAAAATCGTTATATCTTCCTTATTGATAAAGAAATATTGTTCCACAGTCGCCGAGCGTATATGTACATTGCTTATTCAGCGTAACGCTATCATTTAGTAATGTTTGCGAAGCGTACGATTATCGCAAATTAACAATAGCTAACATTGATTACAATTTCGACGTTTATCCATCTTTCGATTATTGCGAACAATTAAATTATACGATGCAAAGGAAACAATAACTTTTATTACGTAACTATTTATGCCAAGCATACTCAATGAACGCCGATTACCATCGATTGACTTGATAAACGTCGGAGGTGGTAACATACGAACGAAATTGAAACTAAAATCTGTATCGAAAGTATAGAATTATTATAGTAACATCAAATGGTCTCACAATAAACCAATGATTAATTAATAAGCAAATTTTTTAGTTAAAAATGTTATTTTATCGAAGAAGAGGAGAAAGTACATGCAATGATGAAACGTCTTTTTAAAATGACTCGAGTGTTTTACCAACGGTACGCGTATAGTTTTATTTTATAACCTCTTTACGAAATCGTTAAGTCACTTTAATGGAAATTGAACGACTTCTGAGAATGTTAAGCTGCGATTCAAGTATACAACGTCGTGGACGATAATCGGTATCGCCTTTTCTGATGTACAATTGAACAAACAGTCATTGTCGTCCTCGTAATAGCGATTATCTTTAGGACCGTGTGAACGATAAACCGAGTTTATGCATTACGAACATTTTCTAGCGAAGAATAACGACTTTTATAATTAACGAGAGACAAAACCGTGCACGATTTTAACACGTTCCACTTGTCTACTATTAAACTCGTGTTAATAACATAAAAATAAATGATAAAAACATAATTTTAGAAAGGGTTCGGTATGATTCACGACGAATTCCTTGCGCATAGATTTCGTTCGAGAAGCTAGCATGATCGAATATAGAATTTCGGACAAACATATTAACCTCGAAACGAGTAAGCGTAGATACAAATACATAAATAAATCAGAACGAGTTGTCTCTGTTTACGTATTTTTACTATTTACTTTCCGATACGAGCTATCGATCTTTTTTTACTTGATAAATTTGTTTCCTGTAAATTATTACTATTTACTGCCATGTCAGAGTTGATATTTTAATGTCTCTTTATGGACTCATTGAAATACAAATGCATTTCAAATTCGATATGCCAGTCAGTTTGTATTTTTATGTTAATTTTATTACTAGCTTTTTTTCAGCATCGATGGAATAATCGATGTTAACGGTCGTTTTCAAACGGAACATTAGGTTGTTGAAATTTGGTATGGGAGAGCGAACTGAAAATTCATTATACTTAATTTGTACGTTTCATTTGTTAAATAGATCAAGCGCGCGCGATTTCGTGATCTCTTGCCAAGATGGAGAGCGTTTTGAGGTCAAGGTTTAAATACCTGCAGTCAAATACAAACAGGGGCTTATTTTAATATCGAAATACATCATAAAAAATTGTAATAAAAATCATCATGGAAACTATACGTATAACACGCGTAATACAATACTTTGGTATATAGCATATTTTTATACTCTGTTCACGAATATGAAATAAACGTTGTTCGTTTAACATTCCTTGTTTATTATCCCGTGACTAATTATATTTACAATAGCAGATTTTCCTTTTTGTAAATTTAACCTTATCTCTTCCCGTTATATAAATAGCACATTACATGATACACAAAGCAATTTCATTGCCCCACTTACTTATACATTCTGTTGGCTAAATTGCTTCGAACAGCGAATAAAATACTTCCATTGTTCGACTTCAGATGTAATTTCATTCACATTAGAAATAAAATTGAAAAAAATAATCTACAAATTTTCTATATCTTTCATGTATTTTTATTTATTTACAAATTTGCTCGCTCAAGGTCACCAGGGGTCTAATCGCGCCATACCGTTAAGTCTCGAATTATATAAACTATATATATATAATAAAATTAATATAAAAATACAAACTGACTGGCATATTGAATATGAAATACATTTGTATTTCAATGGGTCCATTTATACATATAAATTTAAATAATGTTTTACAGATCAGGTGGTGTTCATTCAGGGAGCAGCAGCAACACCTGTTGAATCTTTAAGAGCAATGACTGACTATGGTGTCCGATGCGATGTGAGAAACGTGCGATTGTATCATATGCATCTCGAGGGTGCTGCTCCGTTTGCAAAACCAGAAAACGCAAGTACGTTATTAATACTTGATAAATCTAATTTCTTTTTAATCTGTTCGAGACCAACGACCCATCACATGAGTCATGTAAAAAGATAGCAAAGAAGTTCATACTTGATCTACAAAGCAATTCTCTGTTTTATTTCCAAGCCACTTCAAATAATCCAAGTTATTTTAAATGGATCAAATTTAATATTCGCAGTATCTTTATTTAGTAGTGTATATATATATATACATAATATTTCTATGTATTATGACGCTTTGTATACAGAACATTTCAGGTCTATTAGCTTGTTCATCGGCGGCAATGTGAGAGCAGCTGTTCAAGCTGGAACCGCGGACTGCGTTCCGATTTTCCTGCACGAGATTCCACGATTATTCAAGGAAGGACACATCAAGCCTGATATCGCCCTTATCCAAGTTTCTCCTCCCGATGAGAACGGATACTGTTCGCTTGGTACCAGCGTGGATTGCGTGAGGTCTGCCGTGAGCAATTCCAAATACATCGTAGGTAAATTTTCAAATCTTTCTAATTCCACCTTCACCGTATCTCTGTCCATAATTATTCTACGATCCTTACTCCTAATCATTTAAATTTTAAACAAATTTCTTTATAGCGTTGGTAAACAAACATATGCCAAGGACATTCGGCGACGCTATCATTCACGTTAGCCATTTGGACTTCGCCGTGGAGCATCACACGCCGCTACCCATGCATCCTGTAAAAGCGCCGTCGAAGGAAGAGCAGCAAATCGGTAAAAATATCGCAGAGAATTTAGTAGTGGATGGAGCCACGTTGCAAATGGGTATCGGTAGCATACCGGACGCAGTGCTGTCTGCGCTGGGAAATCACAAAGATCTTGGAATTCATAGCGAAATGTTCAGCGACGGCGTGGTCGACCTTGTACATAAAGGATGCGTCACGAATAATAGGAAGAAGATGCACAAGGGTCGAATCGTCGGGTCGTTCTGCGTTGGCTCTCAAAAGTTGTACGATTTCATGAACAATAATCCGTTCATAGGTGAGGTCTCCTTCCATCACTTTCAGAAACAATAAAAACTGACGAATAATAATCGGCTTATTTAGATACAGTTCATAATCATTATTTGTTAGTAGTGGCAAAGCTCAGACACTTATGATTTTAAAAATAACCTCTTACAGAGATGCTAGTGGTGGACTACGTGAACGATCCGAAAGTAGTAGCTAAGCAACCGAACATGACAGCCATTAACTCGTGTATCGAGGTTGATATTACTGGACAAATCTGCTCCGACAGTATAGGAACTAGAATGTACTCTGGATTCGGAGGACAAATGGATTTCATCATGGGCGCAGCTATTAGCGAGGATCGCTGTGGAATGCCCATTATTGCGTTACAATCCGCTACCTCGAAGGGTGAGAGCAAGATTCAGCCTGTGCTCAAGTCAGGTATGTGTATCTAACATAAATGTATTCGTTACATTGATAAATAAATGCTAATCTTGACTTTTTTATTTTAAGGCGCTGGTGTCGTTACGAACAGAGCAGTCGCCCGCTATGTCGTCACGGAACATGGAATTGCCAGTTTATTTGGAAAAAGTCTTCAACAACGAGCGTACGAACTAATTCAAGTCGCTCATCCCGATCACAGAGAGGTTCTGGAGAAAGCAGCATTTGAACGTCTGAAGGTTATGCCAGCGCCATAAGCGTTTCATTGAGAATGTAACATCAACAAATTTTAATAGCATTTCGCGACAGTCTGCTGCGCACAATGAACAATCATTTGTGCTGAAGAACGCCATCGCAAACTATCTCTCGATTTCGTTTAATTTTCTTCTTGTCAGCAAAATAAACGCATAGAATCGTAATAGTCGAAAGCAGACACTCGACACCACGTATAACCACATTCTGAATAATTATGAGAAGGTTTTTCGTTGTAAACATTCAGGGGAATTACCGATTCTCGAAAAGAAATCTGAAAACTGCGTTTACTTTGGACAAGTATTTAAAGTTAAAAGCATCGATCGAAAACAGTGTATAATTTAAAGCTAAAATAACGACGATAAATACTTTTTATATGAAATTTAAAAACGTTCCTCTGTATAATACAATTATCCTTATAATTAGAGGCACATTGCATTTGAAACAATAAATTTAAAATAGAATGTACATACATGTATTACATTGTCTATAATTATTTCTTCTTTGCCTACTAGTCATAGGGCGTGTGTTACTTACACGTTCGTATCGAAAAGACTGAAAAATCGAAAACCGGTAAATGCGACGTTCAAATACTAATCGTGGAGATGGCAACGGATCTAGTATGATATGACGTGAAGTGACATTTGAGTTGTGAAATCCTTTAGATTATGTGTCATCTAAATTTCGACGTAATTGACTTTTATATCCTACCGCATCGGGAAACTTTTGCGGGTTTCTATCATTTATACAATTTTTAACGCGTCATATGTTTCACCGGCAAAATGTTTTGTATTAATTTTCGTCGAAACGTCGAGTCAGCGTTCGGTAAATTCACACCGAAAAGACCGTTTAATATGTGTGGCTTAAAATACATACGAGAACCATTGAATCCGTTGAAACGATGTCCACGATGGGTTTGTGTAGAAGATGCGGTAAAAATCATAAATTCAGGTATTTACTAATTCAATCGAATCGTTAAAAAGAATACTTAGAGATACAGACGTGTCAAACAAAAACAAAAAACACGAATTACTATTAATGCTTCTCAAACTCTTGCTTACAGAGCACTTGGTTTTTATACAAGGAGGCGCAGCAACGCCTCTAGAATTAATCCGTGCTATGACCGAACATGGTGTTTGCAATAATCTCCGCGGAGTAAGATTGCTCCATATGGCTCTTGAAGGAGACGCGCCTTTCGCAAGTCCTGAATTTCAGAGTACAGTATTCTTATGATTCTCAATTATGGAACCAATATAAAGTCTCATGTTAACGGAGCCACATTAAATGATTGCCTTTTAGAGCACTTCAGGTCCGTAAGTTTTTACATTGGAGCTAATCTCCGTGAAGCTGTTAATGAGGGTAGAGCAGATTACATACCAATTTTTCATCACGAAGTGCCCAAGCTTTTTTATGAAAGAAGAATCATCCCTGATGTCGCTCTGATTCACGTCAGTGTACCAGACGCACGTGGCTTTTGTTCCCTAGGCGTAAGCGTAGATTGCACGCGTGCTGCGCTGAGTTCGGCAAAAGTTATCGTTGGTTAATAGACAATCATTAATAATAAACGACGGTTATGAATCGAATAAAATAAAAGTAGAGGAATAACACGAATTCTGAAACAAAGCTCACGTTACGCATCTACTGATAACAAATTTCATTCCTAATTTGACACAGCTCAAGTCAACGAGCACATGCCAAGAGCGTTTGGGGATACGGTCATTCATTCCAGCCACATCGATTGGGCCGTGAAGTACGATTGTCCCTTGCCATGCGTAGCCAGTACTCCCCCAAATGAAATCGAACTGGAAATTGGCAAGATTATAGCACAAAGGCTAGTAGACGACGGAGCGACCTTGCAACTCGGTATAGGCAATATACCTGACGCTGTTCTCTGTTCCCTCGGCAATCACAAAGATCTAGGTGTTCATACTGAGATAATGGGTGACACGATGGTGGATCTAGCCGAGCGCGGAAACATCTCGAATAAAATGAAAGTTAAACATAGGGGTCGTATGGTCGCGTCCATGGCGATTGGTACCAAAAGGGTATACGACTTTTTACACAATAATCCATTTGTAGGTATGTGTAAAATGTGTACATCTGTATCCAATGTCTTTCATACTCCTGCACAATGCTTATTTACTTTCATAGAAATGCTTACGGTGAACTACGTGAGCGATCCTCGAGTAATATCGCAACAACCGAAAATGACTACTATTAATCCCTGCATAGAAATGGATCTTACTGGTCAGGTATGTTCAGACAGTTTAGGCTGTAAAATGTACTCAGGTTTCGGCGGACAGCTCGACTTCACACGTGGTGCTGCGATGGGCCAAGACGGCCGAGGGAAAGCTATAATCGCGTTTCCCTCGGTTACTAGCAAGGGAGAGAGTAAAATCCAACCTGTACTTAAAGTTGGTATGAAGCTCCAAATTCACCTTGCATTATTTCCTTAGAAGAAATTACTTTCCTGAATATTAATTTTTTAATCCAATCGTGATCGTTTCTTTAATAGGTGGTGGAGTTGTAGTAACCAGAGCCCACGCGCATTACATAGTTACAGAGCATGGAATAGCTCAACTCTTCGGTAAAACGTTGCGTCAAAGAGCGAACGCGTTAATTCAAATCGCTCATCCCGATCATAGAGAATGCCTCGAGAAGGCTGCATTCGAAAGACTCAAAGCTAATCCAACCAAATATTTGTAATCTCTGTATACGAACGTAAGTCACAATTGTATCAAATTTTCGTACCGGTTCAGAATTAAAAAAAAAAAAAACGTATACTTTATACACAACACTTTGTATGTACAGTTTGTGCAAATAAGTATATTGCTGATTGTTATAGACATTATACAAAATAAATATTGCATTTGTACAAACACAAGTTCTTTTTATAAATTATATTTAATTTATAAATACATTGAATGCTAAATATTAAAGTTTGCTTTGCTAAAAATTTATACCTTCTGGTAACGTTCCTTCTCGCCGTCTTCTCTCCACGTTCTCGTAATACTCGGAGAAATTCACGTAAGGCTTAATCCTAGCGTTTCTATCCGTTGGTCTTGCACCAGGTGGGTACATATCCGACGTCGTGGAAGTTTCGCTCGTCGATGTATCGAAATTCTCATCGGTAACTCCTGTACTCAAATAATCTTCGTTCTCGGGCATTGTGGTTATCGGAGCAGTTTCTACAATTGGATTAAATCTAACCGATTGATTAGTAGGACTTTTCAATGCGTGGGGAAGCGGAAAATTAAAATTTCGCACAAGAAGAGTTATGTCGTCTCGTTTACCAGTAGTCACTGTACTTTGAGAGTTACTCATATTAATATCATGATGAATTCTTACAACTTTATCTACGACAGCTTGAGCAACTCCTGTTAATGTGGACTGCACGCGAAACTAAAATTTATTTCATTAGAACATGTATTTTTGCATGGTTCTATAATTACTAATAAATACTTTCACACCTGTTCAACTGCTATAAGAGCAAGTTCTTTATTAACTTGATCGGTACCACTTGCTTCTTCTAATGATTTATAAAGACCACGCGACATAAGTAATAAAAATCTACAAGAATCGTCAAGTTCTATCCCGCCATGAATTTCTGGTTCGGCGATAATAGGCTCTGCTGCGGCTGGTGCTAATTCGTCAAATTCTCTATATCCTCCTTTAACAAGGTAGTTTCCAAGACAACGCGTATTTTCCTGATTCCCAAGATGAGATCCTTCAACATAAATTACTTATCATTTGCCAACAAGACAAAGATTGATCCAAGTATCATCAACACACCTTGTCTTATGGAATCAATGTCCAAACCTAAATGGGATAATCGCAACAATTCATCTTCATTCCGTAAATCGTGATCAACGCTCAGCTGTATAACCCTTAACACTTGATTGCTGTCTGTTTTACACAATAACGCCCTACTATCGCCAACATTCGAAACATACAATCTTCCACGATACACGAGCGCTACGACCGCGCTTGTGCCTGCTGATAGCTCACAGTTTAACGAATTTAATTTATCAACCTGTATAAAAACGATCTATGCAAATATTTATCAGTTTCATTACTAAGCTCAGTCAAGAATCCTAACTAACCAAATGAGGAAATTTTTGGTACGTTTCGTACGAGTTTAAGCCATCAGGTATATCAAACTGTAAGCTAGTTCGCTCAGCCAGAAGATCACCAATTGAATCTAGATAGCCTCGTTCTACGGCTATGAATGCTTGCCTGGAATGATATATTGTTACAAACGAATATTTTCTGTAAATTGCACTATATATTCTCACATATTAATTTATATTGTTACCTAAGAACTTCTTTGATCTCTTCATCCGTCGATTTACCATTCAACTGCCCGAGTAAAATCTCGGCAGCCATTCGTTGCATAGCAAAATTTGCAGCTTTTGTTCCTTCGTGGCCATCAAACACACCATAAAGGAACGTTGAATCATCGTAACGGCAATGAAAACTGCGATCTTCAAATGGATGCTCCTCTTGTCTATACCCATCCTCGCGATAAATTTGATTCGTGGAAAATCCTACTCCTAAGTGGACATTTGTGAAACATAAATATTTACATTGTGCATTTAGAGGTTATATTACAGAGATTTATTGCTACGCACCTGATTGCTTGCAGACTGGCAAATCATCCGTCCAACTGTACTGAGTGTCCTGAAAAGGCATTAAATTAGGGCGTTCTGCCCTAGTTGGCATTGTTAGAGATATTTAAATTAACTTTGATGAAGATTTCAACTGATATTAGGTATACAGACTTACGTTTGCAACATATCGACTGGGTATCGATCGATGTTGCCAACCTCACTCGATGAAAGTATAGATACCCTTTGAAATAGATCAGTAACAAATTTAAATAAAAATAAATATACGCTCATGAAGTACGCTAAACTAAAATTGTTTTACATATTAAACTTATAGAAATTATAATTATTCTTCATTGCAACGTTTGACACTCGAATGCAACAAATTCAGTAAATGTCTTATATCTATAAATATGGTAAGATTGATATCGATCTACATTTATCGATTGAAGATCCATTTGAAAAATTTGAAATAATCGAAGCTTATTTGGAATACATAAATACTTTTATGTACCTATTTTCTTGTAACATTTAACACAAATTTTGGAATATATTTTCTGAAACATATTTTGCGTTTTACTTTACAGAACCCTTGTACTTCATTGATTTCAACGGAATGTATGCGCGTATGCCATTAAAAACAAAAGCAGTTCTTAACACGAACTCTTATCATACTGACAAATCACATAAATTTTCGGTTCATCAACAGTACAAATTTTCGTAACTAATAAACATCAAAATTACAAGATATGTAATAACTGTAATCGCAAAATAATGAATTAATCCCACTAAATACAACATGAAAACCTGACAAATTACCCACAAACTGTCAACAAAACATTCATTAAATTAACACAAAGGAATAAATTGTTAAACAGGTTATTATGTATCAGATATTTATTTAAACCTTGGCCCTATGTATTAGTATATCCTCTTATAAATTATTTTTTATATATATAGGTACTTTGTAAGTGCAGCTAAATATTATTTTTATAATTCTCTATTCTCTTTAAAGAACTGCTCCCTTCTTGAAGTATCCATCTTTTAAAGGTTTTATGATATATTACTTTCCAAAGGAAAACATGCGTCGAAATCCACGAGCAGGTAGCGGCCTTACAAAGACGCAAATAATGCGTCAAGCAAAGGCCGCTGCCGTGGTGCAAGAATTTGAAAAAAGACACGATGCAGATATGAAGTATCAGCCAGATCCGCTCAAGACACGTAAGAGAATCCTTTCGTATGAGCCAAAAAAGGTGGACTTTAAAAAGCCAGGGATGACCAAAGCAATGTTAGCTAGAGTAAAACAAGCAGAAAAATTTAAACAAGATTACGAACGCAGGCAAGCGGCGGTAGGCGGTGATCGGGTACCTAGAAGGACACCCGCTCCGATAGGAGGTGATTCCAGGTCGCGACAGTAGTTAAATCTGATTTCAATGAACAATTGTAAAGAATGTTGAATGAAAGAGAATTTAAATTTCCTTTGAACCTTCATAATGTTCATTGTTACATTCGAGTAAAGAAAATATCTCCAAGGTTTCCATTACCATACAAGAAATCTCTTTTAATTAGGATGGGCAGAGAAAGGATACCAGCGTCCAGAGTAAAATCACGTTCTCCATCCGCGTCTCCTCCAAGAGCTGGACCCAGTCAAGTGAGACCAAAGACACCTCAGAAAGCTATATCTAAGAAGACCAATGAATTAGCTAGAATGTTGAATGCCGATGTAATCCAAGCTGAACCAATTGGAGCTGGACCAATCAGCAACATTGTGATACCACCTGGAACAGTGAACAATGAACGAACTACTGTTGTTAGCGTACCACACTCGGCTGTACAAACTGAATCGAAAATAACGTCGGAAGTGGCAAATCGGTCGATACAAGTGATCAGGTGAATTCATCTATTTTGATTTCACCTGCAATAGTAATACAAACTCTGTTTACTTTTGACAGTGAAACTCTTAATGAACAAGAAGCAGTAGAAGTTAAAGTAGTGAACAACAGACTAACAGAATTACAACAAGCTAGAAGAGATTTTGTTATTGCTGTAGCAAATGTTGGTGGAAATGCTGTTAATATTGGAGATGAAACTCCTCCTGCTGATTTTTCTTTATGGGATGACAGCCTGCCACCCAGCCCTCCTAGATATGTCCAAAAGTAAAATTTCAAATACTGTATGCAATGTAGCTTTGATAATAATATAACTGTACTTATATAGAGTCCATGATATCGAAGACGAATACCTCAAACCAAAATATGGAAGAGATCATCCAGATATTTTAGCTGCCCGTGAATTTTTGGGACAAAAAGAAGCAGCCAGAAGAATGGAAGAAGAATTTGAAAGAATAGCAGCATCTGAATATATGCCAGATGAATTACAATTAGATGTTCCTTTCGAAGAAGAACTTTACCAAGATAAAGACATATCTTGGGAAGAAGATGAAGAAATTGGGGTGCCTATGCCTCGTCCATCTAGAGTGAAAGCTTATACAGCTCCTGTGCCACAGCAACAGAAAAGTTTTCAATTTAAATCCTTTGATCCAGAAGAACTCGAAAGATTCTTTGATCTTGAGCGTTTCCCTCCTTGCCCAATATGTGGACCACCACCAGGTAGAGAAGATTTACATCCCGATTTATGGGAGTTGGAAGATCCATGGTACAAACCTCCTCCGCAGCCTGACATGCCAGATCTTATGGAATTCGATTTAATGGATTTCGACTAAAGTAACACTGACCTAACATTCACCTTCTTTGTCTAATGCTAGCGTATTTCATTGCAAATAATTCTTTACGATGATTTCCTGTAAAATATTTACGCCTCGTGTAATGTAAAACTGCTAAACATATGTAAATAGTAATAATAACAACATTTTATACTTAACAATTCGAAACACTACAGCTTGCTTCAGCTAAACCTAACCTCTTTCGAACACATACGATCATAAATTTAACATGTTCATCTGGTCTCGTACTCATATATAATTGTGAAATCAAAATATTGAATAAATAAAGAAAGTACAGTTGCTCAATAATTTTACGGCTTTAATTAACGGTCATCAAATTTAAATCCTGATAAATCGCATATAAAAGTGTACACTGTACAATGCTGTACATATATACATGACTGTACAAAGATGATACATAAACAGAACCATTGAATCAAAATCACTTTTAAATTCCAAACAAAAATTTAAAGAAAAAATATGGAAAAATTTTATAGTTAACAAAAATTTTAGAAGGTCCAAACACGTTATCTTTGAAATAAAAAAATTAGATAACCAATTATAAACATTGCATGTATGGTTATTACATGCATAATATATAAATCATTTTTTTAATACTGTTTAAATATTTTTGTAACGCAATAATCGTGCATTTTATTAATTAGTACCAGTGGTGATGCAATATTTAAAAATTTTATATTTTTATTAAATATATTAAACAATTAGTCCGGAAAAAAAGGATGAATATGCTTCGTTCATAAATAGAACAATTAAACAATAAATTCAAATGTACCCTGATATCAAATATTTTCTTTGCTATCTATATGTATATCGATTACTATTTAAGTATTACTTGACTAACGTCGTAGAAACAACATGTGGGAAGCAGTGGGAAGTGTAGTCTAAAAAGTTAGTCGTAGATATTATATCAATTTCAATATTACAAATGACATAAAACACGCCGCACTAAATGTCACAGAACTTAAATATCGTACCTAATGTATATATTAGTGATTGTGCGTGACGTTTCATTTAATTGTAATGTTTTCTTACTATCTTCTTTAATTGATAAACGTGTACATTAACCACGGACACTAGTTTTATTTTAAACCATTACGATGGATCTGCCGTATAATTAAATTAAATTAATTATACATCTTATTTGTATATAAATACCTCAAGTATAATGGCGACACCCACTAATGGTAACGGTAACCTAATCGACGAGTTTGAAGAAGCTTTTCAGGTATAGTCTAGAAACTATTATGATTCGTTATCAAATTTTATTGTTTTACGATATTACAGTTTATATATGTATATATACTTGTTTTTTTAATTCAAAGTATTACTTGCAGCAATGTTTGAGTATATTAACAACAAAAGACGAAGGGTTAGGAAACAATGGGATCGGAGTATCTGGTGGCTTGACTGTGGATAAAGAAGAAGCTCGCAGCGAAGTTGAACAAGTTACCCTAAGATTTATAGATCTTGCAAGGCAAATGGAAGCTTTCTTTCTACAAAAAAGATTTTTACTGTCCGCCTTGAAACCAGAACTAGTAGTAAAGGAAGATATCAACGATCTCAGAGTAGAACTAGCACGTAAAGAAGATCTTATAAAGAGACACTATGATAAAATTGCAGTATGGCAGAATCTGTTAGCAGACCTGCAAGGTTGGGCTAAATCTCCAGCTCAAGGTCCGGCCCCTAATGGTGAGAATGTTAACACGTTCACAGTCTGGACATTTAGAAATCTATGGTTTACAATTCATATATAATTTGTAAGACTGTGAATGTGTTACAAGGGTATTCTAGCCTGGCTAAATTCATATAAAAATATACAGTAGATTTAAAAATGTAGTTTGTATAATCATTGTAGGAAAGAAGTAATTTTTATCACAATTTCAGAGTTAAAAGTATCTTAAAAATTAACAAAATGGCAGTAATTAAGTACCAATGTTTTATACAGTTTTCTGTAAAGTTTCCGAACAGTCAGGATTTAAATTATATGTTTATGAGCTATGTTTATAAAGCTCAATCAAGACTTTTAGAAGCATACTTCTAAACTTTCCAAATGCTAAACTAGAATACCTCTTTAAAAGATTGTGCAACGTAAGTGTGCATAATAATTTTGCATTACATTAGGTTTACCAAATGGTACCCAAAGTGGACAAAACCAACAGACTGCAAATGGAGCTGGAAGTGCAACGATGCAGCAACAGCAGCAAATATTGCAACATCAACAGCAGCTCCAGCAGCAACAACAGTTACAACATCAAATGCAACATCAAATGCAGCAACAACAACTTCATCAGCAACAGGTATTTAAGTAATACCGTTACGAGCTGAAACTCCTGTATTCAGGCAGCTGTTTAAAAATTAGCGTTGGAGATAGATTTTTTAATGTGACGCAATACGATTATCGAAAATGCGTGACAGCGAAAATTGTATATTTGAAGAATGTTTCTTTTGTTGTGGCGGTCATAGTTAACGATAACATCTTGAATTATTATTCTTTAACATTTATCACGCCTTAGTTGTAAACCCAAACTTATCGATAATGTAAAGTATTCAGAATTTCTTTATGCAAAATATCGTTGCACCATACAGTTATACTTATGTCGTGAGATTATTTATACCCGCTATAATGCTCTTGTTCTAAACGAAATGGTATATTTATTGTTATTAGGTTTTTATATTAATCGTTACAATTTGAAAATGAATACCACTATCGAATGATTGTACATGCCTGTGTGTATGCATGTGGGTGTGAATGTATAAGATGTATAGATTAAACTGTTAAGTAATCTTTTTGTGATTGAAATATTCGTCAGAATTGTAGAAACTATTTTTGCTCCTTTTTTTTTTAAAAATAATAGCTATTCAGGACATAAAATTGTTCAGTCCTACCGCACAAAAAGCAACGTACATTAGCGTTGCCTGTAATCAGTGCCTTATATAATTCCTATCCACGAGAGTGTAACGTGTAAGAAAGAAAAATTAAAGTGCTTTTATTAGTAACTGCGATATAGAATTATAAAAGCATGAATTTCGTTTATAAAAGAAGAAAGTATCGGATAGATATACTTGCATAAACACGTTGTAAAATGGTGCCAAAACGATTATTATTAAAATGTGTACAAATGTTTAGCCAAAAACCGACATAATAAATCTGATAACGGCAATAAAAAATAAATAAGCACAGATTATTCTGCTTAACGTTAATAGTAAACCTGATGATCCCTGTTACGCATATATTATAGTTAGGAGCAGATAGCGATATTTGAAATCCAATGTGACTTCGTAAACAAAGTATATACTTGCATACATGTATACATATCTGTTTATATATTTTAATTTTTCTTTCACATATTTTCGCATCATATACATATTCCTTCACATCACGTATAAAAAAAAAAATTGTCAAAGATATAAGATATTTCTCAGTATTCATAAGCCTTCTTGTTTATAATATGATAAATATCTTTTGCATGTAAACGTATGCATGCGTTCTGCATCAATATAAAAGCTATTAAGAACGAACGCCTTTATATTCGAAAGATCATGTTGAAATCTTATCGATGATAAATCGTAGTATAATTACACGTCAAAGTTATTTTATAATTATTCTAGCTATTCTTCTGTATCTCATAAATCGACATGTGTCTTTTTCACACGGATGTCTTAGATGTGATATTAATCTAAAAACATTGCAGCAATTCGTGCAAACGAATAACTGCAAGGAAACGTGTGCCATTTCTCTTGTGTTGTTTTCACGTGCAAGTAGATGTTGCAGAATAAATCTCTGTTCATGGATAAAAAAAAACAAACATTGTGCTTTCTTTCATTTCCCTTGCCTATCTAATTACTGTTCCTGACAACCTATTATATTGGCTTGCAACGAATCGTAAATTCCATTTATTATTTTCACTCGTAAATCTATATATATCTATATAAAATATATGCATGTATGTACAGTACTTTCGAGGTCTCTACGCTAAGTAATATTAATGGTATTGTTGAATCTTTGAAATATTTACTTTTGAACCTACATTGTTTTTCTATTATCATATAGGACATTTGATAAAAGTATATATAAAATATAATGTAATAATAGTATCATTGCGCTATAGAATATTTGACGTGACATTGCAGGTACAACAAGGAACAGGTGCTCCTCCTACAACAGGTCTTCAAGGGGTTGGAGTGTCTGTGGGCCAACAAGGGATGTTTATGACTCAAGGAGGAGTAAGTGTGACAGGTGCAAGGGCAGGATTCCCTGTGGGAGGCGTAGGAAGTAGTGCCCTTCAAGGACCACTAGCTTTCCTGGAGAAGACAACGAGCAATATAGGAATGCCGGAAAGGCGGAGTTGACGCGGAAGGGGGAGGGGCCGGGGTCGGGGTCGAGGAAGAGGCAGAGGAAAAGGACGAAGTGCCGGAGGAAGTCTTCCTCCGCCACCGCCACTCCTCGATACTTCGGACCCGTCGTCGTATGCTGCTGCTGCCGCAGTTGCAGCTGCTGCGGCAGCGCCCCTTCCCTCTCCACAGCAGCAGCCTCCACCACCGTGTACATGAACATGTTTACACTAGGGCTGGGACTAATTGTCGAGTTTTCCTGTATTCAAATATTCCGACCTTTCGTTAATTTCAATATTTAGAATATCATTCGGAAACTTGAGTATTCGAATATAATGCTTCAGAGGCATGCAAGACTATGCGATTGCTCAGAACACCACGTATCGAAGAGCAAGGTGTCCGCAATTTTTGTTTATTGTAAGGTTTACAACGCATCGTTACCTTTACTTAAAATTATTTAATATAATAAACAATAAGCAGAGAAATTGCGAAGTGCAGCGCTCAAATTTTTTTTACAGGACGACACAGTGACTAAGGCTAGTTGTTCGAATATTTAACGATTTTCTAAACATTTTGGTAAAAAGAAGTTAATGTATTTATATTCAAATAGTCCTAGCCCTAATTTATAAACAGAGTTGGGCATTAATCGACAGATTTTTGTAATTAATCGATTATGCGACGCGTTTGAAAATTTTGTCGCCAGAGTTAATCGCGATGAACGTTAGCTGATCAGTGATTATATCATTTACAACAAATAACGATTGATGATTATATTAACCGCTAGTCAGCCATCATCAGATAACAAACAATATTTTATTTAGATAAAAATCGATTCGTATAACAAATAAAGTAAATGATTTACGATCGATTTAATCGATAGTAATCAGTATGAGAGGATTAAAGGTGTTAGACGTAAATAATTACGATTAGTAATTTGTCGTATAATCTTATTTACACTTGATACCGCTAACCCTTTCACGCTAATTATCGTGCAACATAGTCGGTCAAAATACTTATCTTACTTATTTAATCAACGATAATAACGAGCGATTACTGTAATCGCCAATCGTTATTTTGATTAAAGCTTGCCCAACACTGGTTTGACAGTAATTTAATTTGATAATGTAAGATACTGTTCCTATCCATCGTTGTTGTGAGTTTATAGTCGCCGTAATCGAACCAATTTATAAATGAAATTTAGTGGCTTTATATTTTATCAACAATTTCTTATCATTGGATGTTTGTACATTATTTTTTAAATACTTAACGAATCCACTTCAGTAAACAACTTAAATTAAATATAGCAGATTTTTATTTCGCGCGTTCAAATATATCGCAAAATTATAATTTATAAGTAAAATTTCCAACGATGAAAAATTGCCCGTAAATTAATGAAACCACTAAATTTCATTTGTACACTGTTCCTATGTCGGAAATTATTGTGATCGCTGATTTCTCTAAAGAAAACAATGGATTTTGTTTCCATTCCAAAGCATCGAAATGCTTGTCGATTTAGTCCTAAGAATGTGTTGCAAATAACTTTTTGCGACACGTAGGGGAAACTACGTGTGATACAGATATGCGTGTCGCAGACCATTAGTTATTCTGAAAAAAGCAGGGTATCCATTGAAAAGATGTAGTTAAGTAGTGCCAGTTTTATTAAATCGTTTCAACATAAATGACGAACATGTAATATTATTTAGTATACTTTGTAAAAATATTTTGTTCGCTTTGCGACTCGCGTGAATCGCAATCATTCGTTCGAATACTTCGCATCAGTCTTTATACTGTAACAAACTCGGAAGAAGACTATGCAAAATGTGATGTACCCGTGAAAAAGAATAATCAGTTTGTCTTTTAAACTATGTAAGGGGAGTGGCAGTAAGAACTGTACATAACAATGTGTGGTAAAAAAGTAACATAAATTTCACATGTACATAGAATTAGAGGCACGTTTTTTTATACAATAAATCATGTATTTTATTATATTAAGTTCGAATAATTGTTAGCACTTTTACAAGTCGTATGTAATGTTTACACAAATGTTGATCAAAACTGTCGGATGTATTTCAGATACGACACAAATAAAGTGTAAATTGCCAAAATAACGATATACCTCCCGCGGATAAAACCATCTATTAAGCCATTTTTTGTACAAAATTAGTATATATTTTATATTCTTTCTTTTTGTGATATCGTCGTACAAGTTTATTCCTGTTGTATGCCTCTCTCCTTTATTTTATTTTTGTTGTATAACATGGTTATTAATAATCATTGACGTGCCCATTGATTACTATTAACCGAATTCAGCTTTTTACATAATATGAACAAAATCAACTGTACAAGAAAATTAAGAATTCATTATATTTGTACTAAATGCTGTCGTACTGTAAGGTAATATAATTCTGTACAAAAATGTAACGATTACAAATTTGATAAGTTGTGTGAATTTTAGTTCAATTTTATTTTACATTCCCATTGATTTGATTCGTTGTTTTCTTTCTTATTTTTGTATTCGAATGTAATGCATTTACGGGTATATGAATAAATGTCGGAATGTAAAAAAGGAGGTGGTGGGTAGCGATTATATAAAATGCGTGTTTTTATACATATGCATAAAAAAAAAAACAGACAAAACATATATGTATATACACGCGTGTATACACATATGCATACGTATATATAAAAATAAAACATACAACTTGCACCGTTCAACTTAAAATAATTGTAAATTTTAATAACACAATGTTTGTAAAAATTGAATGAGCGTACGAGTTGGACGACCCGTCATTCCAGCTGGTATGTACGACAGTAACTCGTCAGGTCCAGGACCCATTACTCCAGCTATATCTAAATGCAGCCACGGTGTATCGTTTGGAACAAATTCTCGCAAGAAAGCAGCCGCCATACACGCGCCACCACCTTTGGTTTTCGCCATATTATTTACATCAGCTGACTTAGTTTTCTCTGTAACCAATATTGTATTATTCTACATTATTACCTTCTCTAAAATTTAAATGATAAAATTAATGTTTTTTTTCTCCGATATTCATCGATAGTAAATATAAACTATTGTCAGTCTTTCTAGAACATTTACGAACTTTTTCAGATCCTTGTCAGGAATATTAGTTACCCCCTTAAGAGTATAAACAAAAGTTCTAATTTATCTTACTTGTCATTTCATCAGTAAAGTGCTGCCACAGAGGAAGTCTCCATACTCGATCACCAGTCAGTAAACCAGCACATTTTAACATCTCAAACAGACCAGTATCATTTGTAAAGACTCCAGTTGCTGCTCCTCCTAGAGAGGTTCTCATTGCACCAGTTAGCGTTGCAATATCCAAGATAAATCTATATACATACACAAATTATTGTATACATCTATATCGAATCATACGATATTAAGTCTACTTGGTAAGTACCTTGGGTTAAATTCTTGAGCGTAGCAAAGTGCATCAGCAAGAATCAATCTACCCTCTGCATCTGTGTTATCTACAATGATAGTTTTACCATTCATTGCAACCACAAGATCACCAGGTTTAGTTGCTGTGCTTGAAGGCAAATTTTCAGTAAGAGGGATCAAACCAACGATGTTTACTTTCAATTTAAGTTCAGCGGCGGCACGAATAACAGCCGACACGCATGCTGCACCGCTCATGTCTGCACGCATTTCATCCATGTCAGATGAAGGCTAAAATTGTTATTCATATAATGATTCGGCTGCAAGATTTTCTCAAGTGTTGATATGTTTGTCTTGATTTGATATGTTTATTATTCAATAAACTTGCTACTCCACCTAATAATATTTTACCTTGAGACTAATACCACCAGCGTCGAATGTAACACCCTTTCCAACGAATACAATTGGCTGAGAATTATCGTCAGCACCTTTGTACAGCATCTCAACGAATTTGGGTGGTTCGGAACTGCCTCTAGCTACACTGAGGAAGGAACCCATTTTTTTCTGTTGCGCCCATTCTTTGTCGTGTACCTGAACGCTAATTCCTAATGGAGTGAGGACTGAGCTCACTTCCTGAGAGAATATCGTAGGGGTCATCAGATTGGCTGGCGTATCCGCAAGTTGGCGTGCCCAGTTTTGTGCTTGAGCTTTGATATTTCCGACTCGCCATTCTTCTCTTCACATAAAAATGCCATTATTAGTATAAAATTCAACATCTGTCTGAGGTTTTCTTATAATTCTTGCTAAGCTTAAACAGTTCCCATTCTTCACACTAGATAGCGCCACTGAATTATGGTACCGACACCATAGATACCTATTCATATTCAAAATCTGTATTTGCAATTAAACTAAGAAAATATCTAAGAGAAAGCGAAATAACATTGCATCGTATTTAACAAGGGAATAAATTAGTCTACATACATATAAATAAATCTATAAGAGTACATACTTTGTAAATAAAATGAACAGAATTATACTCACTCTTCTTCTTGATTGAAGAGTGAAATTTTGGGAAATATCTTCCGCTTTTCCTTGCTTCTCGAGCCTTGAAAGAACCACGTTGAAAGTGCAGCTCCTTCAGCAGCAGCTTCTGCATCCTCTAAGGTCTCCAACGTTATATCTTTTATATCCACGTCATCCAATGCACGACAACCCGCTATTTTAACAAATGATTAAAATAATTATTAAATCGTAATATGAACATCGACTATTAAAATTACTATATTATCTTAGGAAAATATATGTTAGAAGAAATAGATCCACCACAAAAGAAATATTTACCTGCTGCAGCTATACGTACACTTTCTTTTCCTTCGTGTACTTCTTCCTGATGGTTAATGCCAAGGTTTTTCTTTCCAAGACCAACAACTGCCACTCCTACATAATCCTTCTCGTCCAAACCCCAAAATACTCTAGCCTGACCTAGCGGAATTTTTGGACCTGCTCTGTAGCGGTACAAGCATTTAAATGTTATTTAAAATCTATGAAATATGAAAACGTACATTGCTAAGGTAAGGGGTAAATTTATTGTACGATCAAAAATTTTACTAATGAATGTACTGAGACACAAATTCACAAGTTTATTCGTTACAATAATTCTAGGCGTCATTTATTAGCATATGCTGCAGCATTTGCAATTTTTAAAATATAATCTAAAAATATACTATCCTTCACATACATTCTAGAATATACTTCTTTAAAATTACTCTAATTTCTCTAACAATTATTCTAATTATTAATTACAATTACAATTACTTTTTCCCACAGTTAAAGCTACATATTAATTCACAATTGTATTGTTTGCTCTATAGTGGATTTACACTAGCAATACATCAAAAATAGGCATCACAATTATTCCCAATGTATTCATTATTAATAAAAATGTATAACAGTACAGAATTCCTTGTGAAATATAATATAGTACAATGTAAAACTATATTTTCATTACCAAAATTCGTTTCCTTGTTTTAAGTATACACGTGATGTAAGTATGTAAATTTGTCATGGGGTTTATCATATTTGTAACAGCATTTACTTTAATATTATCACGTAAATAGTAATGAAACTATTGAAAATTGACACATTGATATTTTAAAAGACGAGTCGTGAAAATGGTTTGCTTAAAATGTACAATTCGTAGCTAAGCGAAAAAATATTTAAATAGAAAATAGTAAATGTAAATTTTTCTCTCTTTTACACATAATGAAATTACTAGTAATTACACTTTTTATCAGAAAGCTATTATTAGTAATTGAAATTAAAATATATATACATACGTTATAAGTACTCTAATTCTATAAATTAAAAGTATTTACAGTTTACTATTTTTTATCGCATATTTCATCTTTTCTTAGCTCTAATGCTAACATATGAAGAATGTATTAACACTGATAGTAGGAACTTAATGCAATCTAAGCACATTCACTATTCCTTAGCTGAGATAATATTCTTGGCACAAATTCAATCGAATAGACAGCAATCGGTATCGTTTATATCGGCTTGTATATTCCTACTCTATTGAATTTAATTTATTAGGCTATTTGGCAAGACATTTACTACAAGAATCACATCATACAATTAGAGTTGCATGTTCACGTCAGAATTTTCAGTGTGATCTGACAATTTAAAGTGTTCTTTTATTTTTTTTTATCCACAAAAATACTTTTTATATTTTAGATTATTTATAACAATAAACTTTTCTGTTCCATTTGTAATTTACATATCATATATGATACACTAAAACAAGTTACTCTATTTTAAAAATTAGTAAATAATTTATATCGCGTAATTGTAAACGGATATTATTTAATACATAATGAAAATTATGACCAAAATCGGATAAAAATAAAATCAAATTTATATGATTAGAACATTTTATTACATATGAATTGTGCTAATTACTGTGCAAGTAACTTTCATTTTGTAATGCATTAATGCATTAAATATTACTACTAAATTAACATGAAATTATAAAAGGCCACATTCCAATATTATAAATGATCAGACAGAAGGCATGTGTTCCTAATGTTAACATAAAATATTTATCATTAAGATTCAGTCTATTAAATTACAACTAAAATAGGAAATAATTAACCCAAAAACACAATAAGTAACAGTACCAATATTTTTAGTAAAAAATATAATTAGAAGAAAATATTTGTGCTGCTCAACACTCAGAGTATTACTCTAACTTCCTTGAATAAGTTAGTCTCTAATAATTTAGATCTCCGTGTAACTAACCTTTTAATTCCTTTTAATTTATTTAATTATTTTAATAAATAATTTCGTGTAACAAACCTGTTAATTCTTAAAATTTTAAATCTTTTAATTCCCCTTGCAACAGATTGCTATAACATTTAGAATAAATCTTTGCTTCCCTCGTCATTGTTCGTGTCCAAGCACCAAATAAAATAAATTTCAAAACACACATAGGTACGCGCTAAACATCATATTAAACAGCGATCATATTCAAACCAGTTCTAATATTTTAATAATCCCTTGAGAATTCGCAGCTACCACGACATTCGACATTTGCTTCCAACAAACTGCAGACACAAATTCATTCAGATCTTCTTCTCTTCGTTCTTGTATTTCTAATATACTTCGAACAGCGTCAAACTTATAGGAGAATAATTGTTTTGTGAGTCCTTTGTAATACACATACAGTGCATTATTCTCTGATCCACATGCCACGTAATCGCCATCAGTGGCTAGACCAACGAAATTTTTCTCGTTTACGTGTCCAACAAACGAACGCAAACAATGTGGATTGTTGATATTCCACATTTTTAACTGCGAATCGGTGCTCGCTGATACTATCTCCTCCTTGTTAATAAACTTAACGTACGAAACAGCTTTACGGTGCCCCTTAAATATGCACAACGCCTCTTTCATGTTACGTAAATCGTAATAGTGGACGCAATGATCTGCTGATCCAAATGCCAGGTGACACGAGCTTCGAGGATTAAATTTTACGCAGCATACATTAGCTTTCGCTTCTAAAGAAGCAACGGAATGATCGTTATTCAGAGACCATAATTTAACTCTAGCATCGTCTGAACCAGATGCTATGAGCCTAGTGTCTACATCGTTGAAGTCTACGGACCAGCATCTCTTCTCGTGTTCTTGAAACGCCTTTGTTCTTTGACCAGTCGCAGCATCCCACACTGTTACTGTACCTTCGTAGTCTGACGATGCTAGCATTCCTTTGTGAAAGGAATTCCAAGACACGCAGGATATCTTCGAACTGGAAACCATCTCTACACAGGGATAGTGAATGTCTACCGTGTCCCTTATAACAGCACTATAGTCGAATACCTTTATACGCTTCGTGACGCCAGCTATCGCGAAAAATTCGTTATCCTTGTCAAATTCTATGCTCGAGACGATAGTGGAGTTATTAAAAATATCTGATGAGTAATTCAATGTCGCCAATGGACGTAGAGAATTGTATCTGGAGAATTTCACAAGATTTTCTCTGAAAACGTCAAGCCCGGAGCTTGTACCGTGCCATGTCTCGCTAGGAGCTTGAGGCTTGTGCCCAAGGAGCAGCTCTTTCGCTCGAGAGTCGAAATAACATTGTACGAAATCATCGAAATGAGCGTGCATTCTCTTTCTACGTACGGCCAATGTTGAACCTGCTGTATAATCACTTTGTTTTTGATTTACTGGAGGATTAGTAGTAAATGTATCGTTTGCGGACACGGGCGCTTTTTCATTTGGTTTTACCATGTTTGAATCTATTATATCTATAAGGCCTATCATCTCTCTTCTAATAGCCGACACCTGCGCGGTATCATTTTCGCTCGATCTCTTCAAATCTTCTATCCTGGGACATTTGCTCTGGACGTCCCTCAATATACTCTCGACTTCTTCCATATCCTTTTTAATTAATGCTATCTCCTTCTGCAATTGCTTTTTCTGTTCCTCCTTTTGTTGCAGTAAATGGGTTAAAAATTCGTGCAGTAGTTTGTTTTGTGCCGCACACGTTTCCGCTTCAAGCAAGTGCTTCCTTTGCGTTAATACTTCTAACATTACATTTACATCTGGTAAAGTGAGATTAGCAGTCTCCGCAGCTACGATATCTCTCAGTCCATCGTAAGGTGGCAGAGATATATCTGTCCCTAAAGATCTGTGTCTACCGTCAGCTGTATACGAAGACCCTAACTCAGCGAGACCCTTAATTCGAGTTTTGTATTTTGAAATTAATTCGTGTAACAAAAAGTTTGGAAATATATCTTGTTGTGTCAACGAGTAGCTACATTTCGGACAACGCCCGTTGGCTTCCAGGGATTTAACTATGCAACGATAACAAAATGTATGACCGCAACGCGTGATATGAGCTTCATCGATCACCTCAAAACAAATAGGACAGAGATAATCATTATTTTTATCTTCGAGTGAGCCACTAATCCTATGGAGAACATTTGCTGATTGGTGTTGTTTACTTATTCGACTACTACATTCGCCAACTCCCCTACTACTCCCAGCGGCGCTATCGTTTCCCAAGTTACTATCACCGATAGCTGACATTATTCTTCGTAACTGAAATTAAGTTGTACTATATTTTATCATATCGCTTAAAACATATTTAATGATGTTAATATGTCTGTATTTAATTTCATGTCGTTCGAAGCCTCTTTCACGTTAATAGTAATTTTGATTTGCTAATAACCAGTTTAAAGAACCAACAATTTTGGAAATTGTTACTTTCGGAATAATATGCTTTTAAACTGATTTTTATATAATAAAATACGTGTGGTAACTCCTTCTGCGCGGCAAGCTTTTTGCTTCATATCATGCGTACAATACCGTCTCTCAGTCTAGTCTCTCCTGAAACAATGAAAATAATGCTAGTGAGCTTGCGGGACATAAATTTCACTCGAAATTCAAGAGTTTTATTAACAGAAAATACTTTATGAAAAAGTTTTTAAAACAACAAAGGAAAAGCAAATCTGAATATTATGTAAAGCTCAGGCAGCATTATAACAATTGTTTCAGGCTGGAACTATCAACAAAACATTTTTACATTATTAACATTAATCCACATAATTTTCAAACGCAATTACAAAAATAATATACAAAATCGTATCGCGCGTTACAATTTACGTTTGTCGCGATTCTGTGCCATTCGACGTGTGCATTGTATTTCTTTGACTAACCAGGTATTTGCTCGAAGTGAAAAAAACATAGTTTAACATCAGGTGTACGATACTTATACCTGAATATAGATACTTATCTACAACCTGGTTTCACATATTGTGCAAAGAAAAATGTGTTCGATGAAAAGAACATTAACACAGATTTTACACAAACATGTGATACAAAAATATGCAAATTATGGAGCAAAATATATTATAGGTTATGAAATACAGACTTACAACAAAAGATTTTTTTGTAGTTTTCCTTTAACTAGTTCATTGTATTTAGCTGCTGTTGGAGTCAACGAAATCTTCTTTTCATCTTCGGTTTCATATACACCGAGCACCAATCCTTTCTGTAGAAAATTAAAATAGCATGAATAAATGTTAAACAGAGGAGGTCTTCTGCAAATTCGTTGCGGATTTATCGGAAGATACGGTATAATGTAAATGATACATATGATATCAAAGATAAGCAACTGAATAAATGTTTCCATAAGATATATGTACATATTTTTAATTCATATATTTTTTAAACATTAAGTAGCTTTGATATGAGTACCATATTTAATTATATTTTTATCGAATTTTGTCCAATTTTCTAGGTGAAAAGTACGGATACTTAATCACCAAGGATGTTGAAGTATGGTTAGCCATTCAGGGTTATGGTACAGTCATACATTCGGCGAATGTTGAACAACACGCTCTCCCGTTTTATAGAGTAATACAACTGATAGAAAGAATCATTCGTTTAAAAAATAACAAAAGAGTACGTTTATTGTTTGATATTCGTTGAATGCAAAATATGTAGCTACGCCATTAAGTAAGCGAAACCGCCAAATGGCGTCATCCCCAGCGAACGTGCCAAGTATGTTACAGTGTAAAAGAACGAACAGCCTTACAAAACAAGACCGTTATTTGTTAGAAAAATTTGACTATGGTAAGAAATAAATTGAAACTGTATTCTGAACACTGATCGCTAAAATGATTGAAAATTTGCACATTCCGATAACACGTTTTCTCCCTCTTTCTCTTCTGACAATTTTCAAAGCAACGAAAATTCTTCGTTTCGATAGTTGCATAAAATGGAAATACGCTGTTTCTTCGCTAATAGAACAGAGACGAGTACTTTCTAAAAATACGAATGGACTATAATTACCTTCATGGTCGAGATGCAGGATAAGAAACGTAACTGCGAATTTCCGTATTGCAGACTCTTACCCCTGATAAGAGACAATGCCATAATTTGTTCAAGAGAGCATTTAGGTTGATATATGTATATACGTATATCTATATGGATACGCAGTGTGACCAGATTGGTTGTCTTTTTGAGCATGCGCACTTGGAGAACAACGGTGTGCATAGCTAGTGTTATGGGCGTCAAAATCTAGCGGGCCCCTGACCCTAGCCAATAAGGAGATCAACTTTAATAACACGACCACGTGATTTGCGACAGGACCGAAACAGCAGCCGCTACACCCCAAACATATATACATTTAAATAGAATGTACATAAATTAATATTCATATATCATAATTACAGTCATACAGTGAAAGTATGTAAAGATTTTAAATAAATCCATGCAGAGCAAAATAAAATGTAACGATACAGTCTATTGTTATATGTTATCTATTCATATTTCGAACAACTATACATAAGGTACATTCCTGAACAATGCATACGAACCAATGAGATTCTTCCGTAAGTCACGTGGTTGTTACTATGGTCCATCCAACAAGAAGATGAACTTTAGTAACACAACTGCATGACTTGTGAAAGGATCTCATTGGTCCACTACTTCCCTATTCAGGAATGTGCACTGTTACAGTATGGACAGGATTATTTTTCTTTCAGCCCAATATATTTTATATGGTACATTTGTCTATACAAAAAATACAGAATTTATATGTATCTTTTTACATACTATATTAAATTTGTTTATAAAACGAAACTTAAAATGCATGTATTACTTAGGTATTATATGTACAATGGCAATGCCAATAAACATTTAAATATACATTTAAAAATTGGTTTTGATAACACATTTATGTCGCTTAAGTACTACAAAAATCGTTAATTTTTTAACAATTACTTGTTAAGAAATTCCGCCATAGGGTCATCTTCGCGCTGTCGCTTCATTTGGAATGCTTCGATTTCTTCCAATGATAGTTCTTTTACTTCGTACATACTGTTGTAAGGGCGCTTTCTTTCGTCCATCTGCAGTAGTCTCTCTGCTGCCTTCTGAGTTTCTACTTCTTTCTGCAATGCCTGTTGTAACTCATCTTGGTCTTGCATTTTAGCTTTCTTTTCTTTGTTTTTTCGCTTTTCCTTTTGTTTTCGTTTCTTCTCTTTTTTCTTGGAAGATTTAGATTTCTTTATAGTTTTCGATTTGACTTCTTCTTCATCGGACGAACTATCACTACTCGACGATTTTTCCTTATACGAATCCAACTTTTCAATGTCGAAACTTTGGCCATCGTCTATCGTTTTCTTAGTTTCCGTGACTATTGCTTCGGATGCTCTTATACCTGCTTCCCCTGTACAGTAGGAATTTTTGATAAACGAGTGGCAACATTTATACCCCCATTTACCAGCTTGCCAGAACGATCCCCAAACAGACGTATGATTATTTGGGAAAACATCTTCTTCGTACTTTGATCTAATCACTTGTCTATCCTGTCCTTTGATGATCTGTAAGTTAATGTCAATTATGAATATTTCTAGAATTTAATATAATTTATTGATACATGAATTTGTAAGTCAACATACTTTTCCATATCTAGAGTATTCCACATATTGTTCTGATTGTGCCAATAAAAGGGAAGGTGGTAAAGCATCAAGATGCTCTTCCCCCCCGTATCTATTAATTATACTTCCACGAGCTTTGTCCTTCAATTCGTCACGTTTCTTATCATATTCTTGTTTAAGTAATTCCAATTTCGTGGGTTCAGCAAGTAAATGAACATCAACACCTCGTTCGTGTGCTTCCCACGCAAATAATTGAGCATTTGCGTGTCGTTGCGTATCCCCCGAAAAACGCGCAAAATTTTCGCCTTTGTAATCCACTCTGTAATTACATGTACATATTTAAACCATACTTTCGTTATGAAGAAAGGTGCAAAGATATTTATAAATTTATACAATGGAAACACATACTCTCTTTCTGTGCCAGTATAAGGATTATCACGCATAGATCTCGTCTTCGGGTCGTAGTACGCCGAATTTGGATCTAAGTTTCTCAAATATTTAGCTGTATCTTCTCTAATTCGTAAATTTCTAACGGTGATACGCTGTTTGGAATCTACTTTTGTTCCAGGCATATCAACTTCGTCTACGTATTTATCTTCATCTTTATCCGAATCTTGTTCATCATTCTCTTCTGCATTCAATTTTTCTGCACGCATTTGCCTCTTTGCTTCCTCAATCTTTTGATATTCTTCAACGATTGCTCTATGTTCTGAAGGATCATACCCAGCCCACCTATGTTAAAAAAATATGTTTGTAATTATTTGCAAGTTATATTTTGTGATTTATTGGAATACCAAATAAAAATTTCCAATTGAAAGATAATAGCTACCTGTCTCTTTTACCATCATAATCCATAGATAATTCAGGTTGTGTGAATTCGTCTGGTGCAATGTCTGCATTTGTATACTTTGCTCCTATTTTACGTGGGCGTTCCATACATTCTTTCCTTTTGTGAGTCATAGCACCACAGTTCTCGCATGCACCTTTGCGATACTTTGTTACTGCTTTAGATGCATCAACACCACGGTTGTACCATTCATCTATTCCACTAAATTGCTTCTGCTTTTCAGGCTGTGGTCTTTGATGTTTTAAAGTGGGTCCCTTGAAATATTGTTATATAGTTAGCAGATTGTTTTCGTGATGTTATTAATAGCGTAAAACTATTACATACCTGTGATCCAAAATACCAAGGTGTTGCACTAATGTACTGTGGAATATGTGGGTTAATATCTTTGCCTTCTTCATCTACTGCAGCTGGTGCTGTGCCAGCTTTTCTAGCTTCTTCTAATTCTTTTGCTTTCCTCCAGTCCTCTCTACTTTTCTTCCTGGGCTCATCTTCAAAATTACTTGTATTTTTGATGATTTTCGATACAGGCACATTGGCTAAAGTGTTAGCCATTTTTTTTTTTTGAGTTGCTTTACGTTACTTAATTATAGTGTAGCTTATATTCACAAAAGTTTTTCTATTTGACGTTTCATGTTATGAACCTTCGTACACAAACTTCCATTAATGGGAGCATCCAGAAAACTGCTCGCTGAGCCGCTCTGTGAGCGGGTTTTAGAACCAGTGGCGCCATCGGTGGGGAAACGCCCAAGCTTGTGTAAAGAATAGTTCTCACCATTTCTGTAAGATGGCGCCACCAATATATTGTAATCAATTATTTTTTATTTTTCGTAAATGCATAATTATTACAACTTTTTACTTTATAACACTACAATACATTATTTCGATATATTGTTTGAACATTCATCTGCTTTTACATATGTAAATGCAATAAATATAAAAATTTTAGTTAGTGGCGCCATCTTAGAGACAGTGGAAACTATCTTCACTATAAACTTGGGCACTTTTTCCACCGATGACGCCACTGGTATTAAAACTAGTAATATTATTTTAATGAACAAAATACCGACATCAAATGTATTTCGTTTCTTTTTTTTATGACAAATTTCTACTTGTTATACATTTGGAATGCTAAATGACGTTTCTTAGGTTTTAATTAAAGTTACTAAATATAAATCTAGTAAGGAGAAACTGACGTATCAGACGACGTGCTTTTGATACGAATTTCCATGTAATTTCTTTAGTCTATCAATGATTCGTTATATAATTTATTGTTTAATCATTTGTAAGATCCTCAAAATGCTCCCAAAAAATAGTTCTGATAAACATTTACCACTGATTTTAATAAAAAGAAATCTTTCTACAAAAGGATTTTCTTGTGCATTTCTGATTTATTTTTCGATAAAGAATTGTTTCTATCAACTTAGTTTACACCTTATGCACGCATATTCTACTCATTATAAATTATTTATAAAAGGTGGTTTCCAAATTTTGAGGAATTCTGTTTATACAAAAATTGAATATTGTTAACATCATCGATGAGAATCACCTTAAGCGGACCCATTTAAAAAGTGGGGATTTATCGACAGTATTGGGGCCTTATAAATATCATGTATCAAATTCGATACGTTCGCTTTAATCTTCAATTCGGAATGTATAATTAATTTATTCTGAAGGATGTATTTTAGTTGATATTTCTGGAAACGGTAAAATGTTCTAATTTTATTGCGGGGAACAGCTGCGATTTCCAGCTGCTTCAAGAATTGGAATGCAAGATCAAAATGGAGGCAGTGCCAGATAGATCGATATTGCTCCGTAATGTCACGTATTGTTGCTGATTCTTTTGCTTGTCGCATATTAGTAAGTAAATGTTTATCAGAATTTTGTCGTTATCAAGTATCACGACATTTCTTTAATTTATTAAGAAAATCAATTGATTAATTGTTTATGTGCCCGCGAAATTTAAGTTCTAATGCTAAAGTTGTTTTTTAAAAATTCTTTTCCTTCTTCATCTACTTCGTTCCTGTAACTCTAATAAACATAAACACATATCACTTAAAAATATGAAAATAATTAATGAGAAATTATAATTAAAATATATAAAAAGTGTCTATTTTAAATTAAAAGTCAAAACATTAAGTAAATAAATTATGTTTCTTTGGACTATGTTTGCTACAATATTTTTATCTTTTACAATTTAGAACAGAGCATGGAATGGATGGATCGTGTCCGCTACTCCTTCCATCCTTTGGGGAAAAGGGTAACTCCGAAAGAGATAATGTATATTCACCGCAAAAAGTGGGTCTATACAGACCAACTTCGGATGCAATTGACTTAGGATATCATACTTTAGACAATAATACCTGCCGTTCTACATCTTCAACAATTGCAATATCAGTTCCAATTAGACAGCAAACTTTGTTGCAACAAAAGTGCATCTATGTTACGGATCTATGCCAGCTAGATGATACTTTATTACTGAAGATATTCAGTTGGCTGGGTACTAGAGACCTCTGTGCAATTGCTCAAACTTGCAGACGTCTGTGGGAGATAGCGTGGCATCCATCTCTTTGGAAAGAAGTAGAAGTACGCTATCCCCAAAATGCAACCATTGCGTTAAATGCCTTGACCAGACGAGGATGTCACACGTCCATTCGTCGTCTCATACTCGAAGGTGCTGTCGGTTTGGCTGGGATTTATGCTCAGCTGCCTTTCTTGAGTTTAACTTCTTTAGTTTTGCGACATTCGCGACGTGTTACTGACACAAACGTCGCTGCTATTTTGGATCACTGTATACATCTGAAAGAACTAGATTTAACAGGATGCGTTGGCGTTACGAAAGCGTGCAGTCGAATAACAACGTTACAGTTACAGTCGTTAGATCTCAGCGATTGCCATGGTCTAGAAGATTCTGGCTTGGTATTGACGCTTTCTCGCATGCCACATCTTGCTTGTTTATATTTACGACGATGTGTGCGTATAACCGATGCCAGTCTCGTAGCGATCGCTTCTTACTGTGGCAGTTTAAGGCAATTGTCTGTCTCTGATTGTATAAAGATCACAGATTTCGGAGTGCGCGAATTAGCAGCACGACTTGGTCCGTCCTTACGTTATTTCTCAGTAGGAAAATGTGATCGTGTATCGGATGCTGGCCTGTTTGTCGTTGCTAGACATTGTTACAAGTTGAGGTATCTTAATGCTCGTGGCTGTGAAGCACTTAGCGACAGTGCTACGTTAGCTTTGGCGCGTGGTTGTCCACGGTTAAGAGCTCTCGACATAGGAAAGTGTGATATTGGTGATGCAACTCTCGAGGCTCTCTCTACGGGTTGTCCAAATTTAAAAAAATTATCCTTGTGCGGTTGCGACCGCGTCACGGATGCTGGATTGGAAGCATTGGCATATTATGTACGAGGATTGCGGCAACTGAATATTGGTGAATGTCCTAGGGTTACTTGGGTTGGATATCGAGCAGTAAAACGTTATTGTCGTAGATGCATCATAGAACACACTAATCCTGGTTTCTCAAGCTGAGTTTTCTAAACCATTTCTCGCTTATCAATCTATTTATTAACAACTCTTACATTGTCATTCGTCTAGACGCTAATTTGTAAAAAGATAAATACCCAGCAATTGTGAAAATATGTATACATATATATCGTAGGCTATGCTGTGAGTCGTATGGGTGTATATGTGTATGTATTTACATACGCCTCTATATATATGCATATATACATACATAATATATGTTTTGTAATTCCCAAATATCCTTGCTATTTATTGATTTTATAATGTAATACGTGAAAGTAATCTTTCGAATTTCATGTATTTTGTATATTTATTTTATAAATAAAACGTTTCGAAATTTTATAAGATTATAAGAATATTTTAATATTCCATTATGTTTTTAAAATTTTGAAAATAATTTTCCCTCCTTTTCCACTCTGTTGTATCGACACGAAAATTCTGGCAATAGAATCGTGCGTCCTCTGTACGCATTAGAGTCAAACTTGTATGGAAACTATTTTTATACAGAAAAAGGCGCGATCAAGTTTGTGTGGTTGACGTTTACCCATGGTCACACGTGCGATTCTGCCAGCTCTTGTATGAATTAAAAAACCAAAAGTAAAAGGAGTAAATAAAGTTAGCTGAAATTGTCAAAATATGAATCAACAATTTCAAAATATAAGAAATAATGGAGATAAAGCGCAATTGCAGGAATTTGTCCAAAATTCGAATGCGGAAGAGGTAAGTAAAAGATAAATTTAACTGTCAATTTACTAAAATATTTTAACTAAGTCACGAGTTTTGAGTAGCTCACGAAGATAGTACGCCATAGCATTTGTAAGACGGATTCACTCGAAATATTCGACGATATTTTGCAATCGTTTTCCGATACTGAAGCTTGTCAATTGAAACGACATAAATTAGTCAAATCCACGTTGAAACTATTGGGGAAAGCTAAGGTACCCGCAAGAGACGTGGATGCCGTCATCAATAGAATCATTTTTGACATTCCCAAATATTCTAAACAATACCTCGTTAAACTCGTGGATTTTTGTGTTGTCAGTATTTGCGACAATGATGATAAACTACAAAGGTAAAGTGATTCTTTTCTTACATTTTCTTAACATTTGTAAGACATTTTTTAAAATACAGTAATCTTACGATACAATTTCTTTGTATCTGATTTCCTAGCTGGAAAGATTTATTGCCTGTGTTGCTTGAAGCATTGGAGAATGAAAAGTACATTACTCACGAAGATGCAGAAGTTTCTGGAGCTGAATATAAATCATTAACCATTAAAAGAATATGTGATTATCGTTGGAACACCGATCTTCTGCCATCCTTGGCAAAAATGTTTGGGTAAATTATTGTACACATTATGCAACTGAGTATTGTAGAAGTGATTAATTAAATATTTCTATATGGGCATTTCTCTAGGGATATGGCTTTAGATAAGAATGATCACAAAGAAGTCCTCAGAACATTATGTCGTGCTCTGTCTGATCTGTCTTTGGACCAAGTGCCTCCTTTTGTATATCAAGCTCTAAAATTGTGTAAAGTTCAGGACAAGCAACATCTTTTAGATACTCTGTGTAAATACTTTGACAATTGTTATTCGAAAGCAATTGCTTTGGAAGACAAGGATAGTATTGAAGACATTGGTACCTACTCAGAAATGTACATTTCAATACAATATATCAATAATTAGTTACTTTAAATGTTTCTTTTCTTTACATATTCTCATAGGTTTAGTAAGTACAAAAGAGGTACGAGATGTTGAGAGTACCGTGTTATACCACGTGTATCAAGCAGCGCTATTGAATCACGAGAATATGAAAGATTTTCTTCGATATTTTAAAAGTATATCTCATGCACCAGAATATACTCTAAAACCATTCGTATTTGCTGTATTGCTCTCTGTTTCTAGCATACACGAGGATCAGGTAAGTAGATAGTAAACAGAGATTTTTCTAATACTATTTAAGAATCTGCTACGTCTATTCTATCATACTAATCAAGATTGCGTTTAATAGATCTTCGAAATACTGAGATTGGCAATCATTAACAACAGCTTGAACAAAGAAAGAAGAAAAAGTAATGCATGGTTGAGACAACTTTTACCCTCTTCTTGTAATATCATCGAAATTATTCGACAACTCGTTGATAGCAGGTGACAAATCAATATTCTTTTGACATAGTATTTCTTCCCATTAATGTTTATTCCACTGTTTATTCCACAGCAATAAAGATCGTCACTTAGTACTGAAAGGACTCACAGACCTAGCGTTTATGTTAATGAGCTCAGATCAAAAGGTGAAAAATAATGCAACAGTCGTGTGGTCTGTTGGATCAGAAATAGTTCGAGAAGTGATGAAAAAACGCCATGAAACGGTTGTCATTGTATTACAAGAATTGGTTCATAAAATAGTGGGAGGCGGCATATCAACGACTCACTACACAGGTAACAAAGGATCAAGCCCTAACGCAAGCTGATCAACAAACATATCGTTTAACTTTATCGCAAAATGTTTTGCAGATTGTTTAAAATATGTCTGTCGTGAATTATCAGTAATCGTTTTGGATCATCAAATCTGGATCACGACTCTTCTCGAACAGTTACTACTTTTACCTACTGTAGTGGCTACTCAAATTTTATACGCTATTTTTCCATTGATGCACGTCTCGCCCAACATACGAGTTAGTCTTCTTCTAATTCTAAGAAAAGCTCTTTATAGAAAAGGTATATCGAAACGACAAATGGCGGTTACTGGATTTCTCGAGATGTTAAAGTACTCAAAAATGCATTCTTTGGGTAGCTTTAGACTCAGTCAACGTTGCAATCCCAACTCGTACGCTGTTAGTTCTAGTTCCAGATCAACGTTAACTCAGGTATAATACCTCTATTTAATATTACGATAAAAGTATCGTAATTTTAGTAACTCTGTTTAGGCAACGTTAGAATACAACACACAAAAGTCAAATACGGACTGCGATAAAACTTTATGTTACGAGATACTAGATATATTAAAGAAGAGCTTTACCTACGAATTCGAAGTCAGACTACATCTATACGAAGGTACAGGACAGAGATTCTCTATTCAAAAATTCCTACCTATCACGAATGATATATTTTCAGGCCTCTACGCTTCCGTAACGAAAAACCTTGAAATAACTGAGATCGTCCTAGACATGCTCCTTTCGCATTTAAATCTCTACTTCGATACGGATGATAATACCTTACCACCTATAAAATTCGAGATGTGTACAAGCGTTCATGGGGTGGAGATAGTCTTACAAGAACCTATCGGGGAATTGATATTTGTAGTACAAAAGATATACGTTGATATATTCCTGAAGAAATCGAAGACCTTCGATAAGCTGCACACAGTTTTAGAGTCACTATGCGCGAGAATGGCAGCTACCGAATTGGAGCATTTGAATCTGGTAATCGAAGCAATAACGTCTAAGTTTCTTGCGAATGTTTTCTAAGTAACGATTACCTCAGGAACATGGGCTAGATTTTTCCGATGATTTGATGAAATCGCAAACAAAGTTAAAAAGTCTTGGCATCGCAGTTACAATTTACGAGGCCCTAATGGCGTTTCGTATAGGAGAATGTGTCAAAGGAAATCAAGGAAGTTATGGCAAGATCAACGATTTGTTCAATGGATACATGCGATTGGGGGATTTTGTTAAAATGGTAGAGTATTATAAAGATTCATTTTTTGTTTTTCTCTTTCTCAAATTTCATCTACACTGGCATTGTTGAAAGCAATCCACAAAAACGAAGAAATTCGATGGCAATAAATCTAAGAAGGATAAAGATGCAAGTAATACAACGAAAAAGCACGGGAAATCGAATAATATAAAAATGCCAAGCACCATTATGGATTTGGATACAATTCATCAAGCCTTAATACTGTTATATTCGTAAGTGTAATGTTACTTCGCAATTGTAATTCATGTAAAAAGAACATAAAAATATTCTATATACACAGACGGCCTTCCTCAACTCAGAACGATGTCAATCTTCGAGAAAACAGCAACTTTTGTCGCTACATATTTCAAACATGCGAACAGATTTTACAACGAACCAAATCGTTAATGGCGGATACATCTCAAACGCAACCTAATCAGTACATAGATACGTACATAGAAATCGGAGGGTAAGAGAAAGAAATCGAACCGTTTTATATCCTTTTTTTACATTTTATGATAATCGAGGCTTTCGTTATTTAGGTTATTTCATGAGTATTTTTTGTTAGTTCTAACTGATGCATTAGCAGATGATGAACAGTTAGCGATATTAGCCTTGCAGTGTTTTAAAGAGATTTGTTCTTGTATATGTACTACATCGTCCTCGTCAGAGTTTTCACGATTTCTCGATAGGATTTGTGAGTGACCGTTACTGTATTTATGCAACAATTTGTCACGTTATTTAAATAAAGTTCATCTCTTTGTACTGTATGTCTTCTTCTGTTGCAGTACGGTCGAAGAAAGATTCTGTACCAAGAGATGTCAATTCTCAACTGCAAGAAGTTGTTTCCTCGTTGGACAATTACTTAATAGCATTGATCGACGAAGAAATAGATAGCGATACGAAAAACAAAGTACTATTGCTATTGTTACAAATTCTGGAACAATTCATATCTAAAATTGATTTTGAAAAATGCAATCTCGAAAAGGTTGGTATATCCGTACTTAGTTATACAAATTTTATCAGAGAATCGTTTCTTGTAAATACTGTTATTTTTGTGTATAAAAAAAAGGTGCACAAATGCTTCAGCAAAATGGTTCGAACAGAAAACCTTGCGAGTTCTATCATTCCTGCTATTATTCAGTTTCTGTTACGACTAGAAGAATATACTCAAGAGCACGGGGAGACGTTAAACGAGATTTGTCTGAAATTGTGTGAAAAAGTTGGAACTATCGACGGCGTAAGCGATGATTTTAAACTCACAAAATATTATTTCTTTGCATAATTTTTGTTGCTTCGGAAGCTTACCTCTATCTCGCAAACGCAGAGCGAAATATCAATGAACGGAGAATATCAAATTATACGCGAGGATACTTTCAAGCAAATCTACAACGTATTGAACGATTACATAAAAGAAAAATTGAATAACGTTTCTTGGCTGTTGCTGCGATTGAAAGCAGAGGATATCATATCCCGAGCACCTGGAACAATCGACGAAGTCTGTAAGTACTAATTCGAAAGCAAATTTAATTTTTCCACTAGCAGTAGCAATTAATGTAAACATCGATCGCGACATCAAAACAGGGAATAACAATTTAAGAGAAAAAGAGCGAAATCTGTGCAAGCAGTTATCCCATCTTATACACGTAGTCCATATATTAAGTAATACGGCGATAGACCTTGGCCCGTGTACCGATGTCACGTTCAAAAATTTACAATGTTTGTATCATCTACTCGGGAATCTTACAAAATATTTCTATGCAAAATCCAGCAATCAAAACGCAGCATTTCAAACGGCCAAGTAAGGATTAACACAAATTATTTTATATAAAATTGTTGATCCTTAATCTAAGATTCCTAAATGTTTTTTACAGGTTCATTCAAGTGGTACAATTAGCTGGCAAACCTTTAAAATCTGCCTTTTATAATCTAGTAACCTATGTCGAGGTATTAATTCGAGTTTTTTTATTATATTTTTAATGTTTAAAACAAGGTTTCTCAAGGATATCCTTATTAACATTTAACTGTGTTCCCTAAAGGAAAACCAAAATAAATTAAATTCGAAATCCGATTCGCACGCGCGGAGGAACAAAATTTTAAAGGAGACCAAAGTAATACCGCGAGTGGTATACGAGATCGAACAATTCAACAAGGAAGTATTGCTACTAGGCAAAAGGACGGGCGTAAGTACTGGTTTAAATGTAATTTTAATTAGTATTTTGACTTAGTAAGGGTTCAACTTTTTCGTATGTATTTGTGATAGATACCATTGGAGAACTACATGAAGCATAGCGTGACAAGAGACTTTAGAATTAAGAATTCGCAACTGGTAGAAAGTCTTGAGAAAATGGATACGAGCATGGTAATTATAGCGTTACAAAAACATTAGGCTTTAATTCTACCCTTTTCTGACATTATTATAATAACTATTCTATTTGGTAGCTTACTTTATTGAACTCTGAAGATGCAGAAAATGAAACTCATAGCTCGAATTGTGAAGAATTGAACAGCAGTACTGATCAGGCGTCGCCTTCGAGAAAACGATCCAGGATGGAAGATTGAATTGTCTTGGTCATATAATTTTTAAATATCGTATTTATAAGAAATTATATACTTTATGTTTCATTGCTCACTCAGTCATTCATCTTTTTGCACATTATGTACTTGCTCATGTGTTTCACTTAAGTATAATATAATGAAGAATATTTTTTACATCATTGAGACATGTCTCACTGACTCTCCAGAAGTAACAAAACACTTGCACAACAAGAAAACTCCATAGTTTTATGCTACAAAGTCCAGTGGTCTATTGAATCCTCCCTTTCTGTTCATATACTGCCTGTACTTTCTCTTTAGGATAACATGCACAGCGCCTATATCGTTCCCTTCCACTTTTTTACCCTTAGTAGTATCAAAACCACAGAATCCCATTATTCTCATCATTTCCTGTTCTTCGGGTGTCTTGCCTTGCAGATCGGCCTCTGTAAAGTATCAATTTATGAAAACCACTTGCAAATCCCTATGTTAATATTAATGCATCTAGACTTTTAACTTACCTGTGATTACAGGACGCTCAGCTGTAGCAGGTTTCGCTTTGGGTTTAGGTCTATCTCGCTCTCTGGATCTTGATCTACTATAAGAACGTCTATGCCTGTCTCGTTCACGATCACGATCTCTTTCTCTGTCCCTTGATTTCACTCGATCGCGCTCAACAGATCTTCTCCTCCTTTCACGAGAGCGTCTTCTCCTCCGATCTCTGTCTCGTTCTCGTTCACGGTCACGATCCCGAGATCGATCTCTCCTCCTTGCCGGTGAAGGTGTACGACTACGACCCATACTATTTCTCTTAATTCCAAATTAACTTGTTGTTAACATTATAGACTTTGTTGGGTTCACGCATGTACGATTTTGCACTGTATTCTTCAAGTACCTAATGAGAAGACGCAGTGTTAAGGATAAAAAACGAATAATAATATTGTACAGTAGTATACGGGTGTTTTTATAATAGGTTATGTTTACATAGATCAGATCGAGATGCTGTAATTTGGAAAATTGCAATAATACTTGAGACGGGACTATATACTGCAGCTATGCTGTATAGTAATATTCAATGTCTCACTGTATACGACAAAATTAAGACTACTTAATCAATTGCTTAATAAAAAATGCTTTACAACACCAAAGTTCATACGTACGCGATTATGCACGATTTGCTTTTCGAATACCACCGAATACTACTAGCAACCCAGTCATTCTATCGATAGCAATATTTGAAAGTAATTATTTATATATGTTATTAAACAGTTGAAGTCTGTAAAACAATGATTATTACTAATCGTTAATTGTCTTTGACTCGATATGTTCGAAAATAAACACTAATCATAATCAAACACAATTAGCGACGAAAGATAACAAATTACTAAATTTATGAGTATAAGATTACAAATGTAGTCTAGAGTAAGAACAGTTTAATATAGTATAAATATAGTCCATTATTACGAGAATAATCACTTTCCGACTCTGGTATGTGTAATACATGCGTGTGTATATATAATACATGTATATGAATGCTAAAACTGACAAAATTCATCAAATTCATCATTTTTTACACTTAGATTTGAAGCATACCAAAGAATTGTTATAGCTCTCATTGATCGAGCAAACGAATAAACTCAAAAGTAAGATAGTTTGGAAATGTTATTAAAATAATAGAAAACGACAAGATGTATAAACTACGAATTGGCTGGGTCGTCAAGGGTCAAAGGGACAGGGTGTACGCGTGGATAGAAATAGAACATAGAATTTGCATCATGAACTTCTCGTTCAACCGACTACCCACGGCTTGGCCGGTTAAAGCTGGCCGCTATTTATATCTGTCTATTAGATTTAATCCTAAATGCGACGCAACCGTTCGAAAACGAACTAATCGAAGTGTTCCCTACGACTCAACCTCAACCAACCTCACGTGTCGATCGCAGACTCGAGACTGAACGATTGGAGCAATTCGAACTATTTGAACGATATTAAAGAACTGTACAAATTACGATACTTCGCATGAAAAGGCGTTCGAAAAGGATAAATACTAGGAACGCGAAGTATTCTTACAGAAATGACCGTTTGCAATCATTCCTGGATCATTTTGAGACGACACGCAACCAAGGATATAAGGGGACGTCGACCATTCTCGCGTCATTAAGTCACAATCGTTCGGAGAAGCTGCGTCACCTTTTTATATAAACGTGTTGTTCATTAACAAACGTAGGACGGATTCTGTGACAGAGTAACGTGTAACAAAGTTTCGTGATCGAACATATCCGTAATGGTAAGAGAATCCTGTCGTCTACGGTGATACGTTAAGTTACAGTGCCAAATACGAACGATATTCGAGGGAACGTGAATAAATGAAATTCGATCGATTTTCTTCGGGCTCGTATTCAAATCAACTCCGTTAGATCACATTGGTTTATTCAACGTTTAAACAAGTGGCTTATTGTTACGTATCTGCTGTTCGTTGACGCGTCAACGAGAGTAAAGTGGCTAGGAAAAATGGAGGGAAGAGTTTTCGAAAACGAATTTTTCCACTGTTTCAGCGCGAGTGCATATCAATTCACGTAGGCCAAGCTGGCGTCCAAATTGGAAATGCCTGCTGGGAACTCTATTGTTTGGAGCATGGAATACAACCTGATGGACAGATGCCGACAGATAAGATCGGGGACGACAGTTTTAGCACATTCTTCTGCGAAACAGGGTCTGGGAAGCATGTGCCCAGAGCGGTGTTCGTCGATTTGGAGCCAACAGTAGTTGGTAAGAGGAAAAGGAAGTCGAATGCTCGAAAGACGCGATTAGATATGTCGATTCTAAGCTAATTTTCGGTTTATATCGAGCGTTTGATATGCGTATCAAATACGTACTTGATTTAGAACATAATTGTTCCCGTAAATGAGCCTTATCAAGTGGGTACGATATGCATGAAGAAGGCGTACCGAACTAAATAATATGAATATTAAAGGCGTTTTTTCGAAGGCTTCTGAATTCAGGTTATGTTTGTTCACCCGTGTCTGGTATGGTCATATATGCTCCGTCCAGCGAGAGGGAAGACTCTAGTAAACAAAACCACATGTCTAAGGTGGAATCTCATTGGTCCACTGTATCTCTGGCCAGGAGTGTATCGTTGATAACCTCAACGCGTAGTGGATCGATAACTGTGACTGTGACCTATAGACTAGAGACTTCTCGAATACGTATATAATATACGTTATGATAATCAGAAAAAATATACAAAAATACTAAGTTACACTCCTGGCTAGATATATAGAGGACCAACGAGCTTCTGTCGCGAGTAGTATTGCTCATTCTATTGAGTATTTTTTTCGCTGAGCAATGCGGGCGTTTTTTGTACCGGTGGCGCCATCGGTGGGAAAACGCCCAAGCTTGTAGTACAGAATAGTTCTCGCCGTTCCTATAAGATGGTGCCACCGATATATTGTAATCAATTATTTTTTCTAAATGCATAATTAATACGTCTTTTTACTTCATAACACTACAATACATTATTTCGATATATTGTTTGAACATTCATTTGCTTTTATATATGTAAATGCAATAAATATAAAAACTTTAGTTAGTGGCGCCATCTTAGAGAAACAGTGGGAACTATCTTCGTTACAAACTTTGGCGTTTTCCTACCGATGGCGCTGCTAACTCAAGGGTCGATAATTATTGCTGCATTAAATAATTATTCATAACAATGACAAATTTGGCATATTAACTAATACATTGTACTGTTATAAAGCAAAGAATCGTATTAATTATGATAAATACAGCAGAGCGGCTTAGTGAGTGCTGGCTTTCCTGGATGCACCCCATTTCGTCCTATTTCTGTTTCCGTTTTAACTTCTTTTATTAGGGCCCTAATCTTAGTACATTGCTTATGCCACTCAATGTATAGAATCTTATGGACTCGAATCCAACATTCATGTTTTCAGATGAAGTACGAACAGGAACCTATCGACAATTGTTTCATCCAGAGCAACTGATCACTGGCAAGGAAGACGCTGCAAACAATTATGCGCGTGGTCATTACACGATTGGCAAGGAAATCGTGGATTTGGTGATCGATCGAGTACGAAAACTATCAGACCAATGCACAGGATTGCAAGGCTTTCTAATATTTCATTCGTTTGGAGGTGGTACTGGATCAGGATTCGCTTCCTTGTTGATGGAACGTCTGTCCGTCGACTATGGAAAAAAGTCTAAACTAGAATTCGCAATCTATCCTGCACCTCGTATTTCTACTGCAGTCGTCGAACCTTACAATTCTATTCTCACCACTCATACGACTCTTGAGCATTCAGATTGTGCGTTTATGGTCGACAACGAAGCAATTTTCGATATATGTCGACGTAATTTGGATATCGAGAGACCCTCTTATACCAACCTTAACAGATTGATAGGGCAAATCGTTTCGTCGATAACAGCTTCGTTAAGATTCGACGGAGCCCTGAACGTCGATTTAACGGAGTTCCAGACAAACTTGGTCCCTTATCCTAGAATCCATTTTCCTTTGGTTACCTATGCCCCGGTAATATCAGCAGAGAAAGCATATCATGAGCAAATTTCAGTCGCTGAAATCACTAACGCGTGCTTCGAGCCAGCGAATCAAATGGTCAAGTGCGATCCTCGACACGGCAAATACATGGCTTGTTGTATGTTGTACAGAGGTGATGTCGTTCCAAAGGACGTTAACGCAGCGATCGCCACTATTAAAACTAAACGATCGATACAATTTGTCGACTGGTGCCCAACTGGATTCAAAGTTGGTATTAACTATCAACCACCCACAGTTGTACCTGGTGGTGATCTAGCCAAGGTGCAGCGAGCTGTCTGCATGTTATCCAACACGACAGCTATAGCAGAAGCGTGGGCTCGTCTTGATCATAAATTCGATCTCATGTATGCGAAGAGAGCCTTTGTTCACTGGTACGTCGGCGAAGGTATGGAAGAAGGCGAGTTTTCGGAAGCCCGCGAGGACCTCGCCGCTCTGGAGAAAGACTACGAAGAAGTCGGGCTGGATTCCGTCGACGTCGATCCAGAAGCTTCCATGGAATACTAACGCTACTTGTCTTCGAATTTCACTGTTTCTACAGATAGATCCTTACTCCCGCGCTCTTTCACCGTCCAACAATTCTCCTGATATTTACCTTCATTTAATCCCTGTCCGTTAATTGTGTATTATTTTTACTTTTACCGCTACGCTTGTTAATCTTATTGCGGTTATTGCTGTTAATAAACTATCAAAACAGTCATATCGGTATGTATTAGAGAATAGTTTGAAAGCTTGCGAATAAATGGTAGGTGTTGTGTATATGAAGATAACTTTGGATTGTACCATACATTTTTTTTTTTACACACAGTGTACCTTTTGGAGGATCGATGTTTATGAATGTATCTATTTGGCCGAGGCCCGTTTTGATAGATGAGATATAAAGGTATACATAGTATAGGAGAAAACAGAGCAGAATTATTGGTAACCATAAAGGCAAAATAACGATACGTTTGACCCGTAAGTAGGCACGCAGGGGCGTCTAGTAGCAAAATTAAATACATTACTTACACGGTAGAGGTAAGGAAAAAATGGTATTTATTTATAATCGAAAAACAAAACAAAATGGGAGTTCAGCAGAACCCAAATTTGTTTATGTTATTAGAGATACGTGCACGCTTACTTAAGGATGAACGTTCGAACGATCGTTATTGTTGTCGGTAAATCCTAATTTAAAAAAAAAAAGCAACCATGTGACGAGTGCATTTTTCCTTCGGTCTTTTATCGTAAATTGTAGACGTAATTTTGTTTTATTGCATTACACAAACGGGGCTGGGAAGGCGAAATTAAATAGCGGATTAAATACATCAGCGCGACGCCTTAACAAATTAAAAACGTAAAAACATTAACAGTACAATATAGTTTCTTATCGTAGACGTAATGCGATGGCAGTCTTGAGTCCTGGAAAGATGCTGTGATTGTTGCATGGTTACTTCGACTTCCGATCTTCTATTTCCTAGTTCCTAGTCCCTAGTTTCGTTCGTCTCCTTGTATACGCACTTTCGACTCGCATTGCGATCTTCGACTCTTCTGTCTCGCGTTTTAATTTTCACCCGGGTACTTGTTCTTCGTTTTATTTATTTGCGATAAGCTTTTGCTCGTGGCAGTGTCTGAAAACAGAAAACAACGTGGTCAGTAATAATACTTATTTTTAGCAATAATTTTCTTGTTATTTTTACGCGACGCAATCGGATACAATCTTGTCGGAATGATAAAATGAAAAACGAGTTACGCGTATGCAGAGCCGTATTAAAATGTGAGCTTTGAGAGCTTAGCATGAATTGAAGAATTTATAATTTAACAAATTTTTTAAAATATTTGTTGTAGTCAAGCCTTAACTATGATGCAAGAG